GAGGTTGCTTTTACATTGGAGCAAATCTTGTTGCTTGGATGAGCAAGAAACAAAATTCTATCTCATTATCCACAGCAGCGGTTGAATATATTGTAGCAGAAAGCTGCTGCACTCAACTGTTTTGGATGAAGCAGATGTTGAATGACTATGAGATTGAACATGGAACTATGACTGTATTTTGTAACAATACCAGTGCTATTAATATTTGGAAAAATCATGTTCAACACTCTCGAACTAAACATATTGATATTAGGCATCATTTCATCCGAGAGCTTGTGAAAACTCAAATAGTTGTCTATTTCAGGAAACAGGCACTGCAGTGTTCGTTCAAGATAGCTGTTAGTTGTAGGTTGTGTTATTGTTTTGAGTTTGTAACTTTTATTTGATTACTGTCTTGACATAGATTATTATTTTGTCACAAAATATCAAATGGGGAGTCTGTTAGGTTTTAGTTGATTTTGTAATTGGCAAATTCTGTGAACAAAATGACTTAAATTGATAGAGTGTAAAAGTTCAAGGAGTAATGTGCAACGTGTTCAAAAGCTAGTTAGTAGGTCTTGGGTTTCGAGTTCGGAACAAGGAGAAAAACGACGCGGACTTTCGCTGGACTGTCGCCAAGGGTTGGCATGAGCTAGAAAAGCAGAAACATCATCACTAGATCGTCGCCCCTCATTTGCTCAAGCGACAGTACTGTCCAGGAAACTTTTTTTTTGCGATTTCAAGGCTTTTTACTCGGCCCATTCGTTTCTTGACCTTCCTATAAATACCGAAACACTTCTGTACGAATTTTATGAGGTTGAACATTGAGAGAAAAAGATTGGAAAGTGATTTCTTCATATTTGATTCTTTCAACCTTAATCTGTGAAAGTTTTGCTGAGAAAAACATAAGTCCTATAATCCAAATACCAAATCACTACTTCCTTTTCATCTGGTCAGAGTTCTGAAAATCAAGGGAAGTTGACAGTTGTTCCTGTCGGTGAAAAACATGTCGTTCTTCATGATCAACGAGAGATAAACGAATTCACAAGGCTTGGAGTGCTGCAGGGTAGCAGATTCCACGGAGAGCTTTGGTAACCTGCTAAGGATTGGTGCAGAAGAGCACGGGATCTGCAGAGAGCTGTAAGGAGTGCAGTCTGGTGATCAGATAGTACGAGTCGTCTAGTCTGGTAAGCTGTAAGTTGTCCAATTCGTTTATAGTTGATTGACTGGCAAAGTGCCCGAAGTTTTTGCCAGTTGGGTTTCTCCGTGTCCATTCTGGTGTTGATTACTGCTTTCACTATATTGATTGATTATACAATTGTGGTTTTCAAACTTAGGACTAAAACTAACTTGCATGAATAATCATCTAGAAAAGAATTAAAAATTGACTTGTTGTAGTTTATTTCGTAATATACTTTTAATTCCACATAAAATACATATTCACCTCCCTCTAGGTATTGTTAGGGTCAAACTTGCGTTTTTCAAAGATAAATCAAGGGAGGCTCTTTAAACATAAGTTAGCCTTTAAAATTATACTACAAAAGATTTTTCAAATTAATATTTTAAAATAGAGAATGTGTTTAACTTTCAAAATTTGGAGAGCTAAATCTACTATCTATAATTAAATACATTCAAAGTACTTTAATTTTTAATGGAGGAAAATAACATAATAATATGAAGCGAAACTAGTGAAATAAAATATGGGAGTAAGAAAATTAAGTGTTACAGATAAAGAACATGTTGCAATACTTCATTTTTTTTTACTCTTTAAATTTATAGGTGCCCTCTAAATTGTAAAACATGGTCTTTAAAAATAAAATATCTTAGAGATGCTGTAAGATGATGCAGGGGCGGACCCAAGGGGGGTCCTAGGTGGGCACGTGCCCCTCTCCCCCCGCCCCCCCCCCAACTTTTGAATTTTTTTTTTTAAGTTGTGTTTGGTATCGATTGAAATCTACATTTTAATCTGAATCAAAGTTAACAATTAATTTTGATAACATATTTCAGGGAACCCATAACTATTTAACTTTTATCAAAATTTACTAAAAATTTGATTTTAATCTCCACCAAACAGTGACAAAATCACAATAAATTTGAATTTCGATAACAAGCTAATTTTAAAAATTCTTCAACAATCGTACACTAATCGATTCTACAAATTGCTTATGTGATCTTAAAACTTATTTCGAGGACTACATCATGTCCATATCGAATAGTCCAAACAGATATCGAAAATAGTTAAAAATACATTAAACGTGAGTTTTAAAGAAAAACGTCTAACTCGTATTTTTTTAAAAAAACATTCAATGATTTTGTTAACATTCATTATTCTTGCTATACAAATTTTTCAATGTAATTTTCATCATTTTATTAGGAAATTTTATATTTAATATGATATCAAAAAATTTCAAAATTTTACATCAGAAAAGTCATATCTCATGTAAATTTTCGAATGCAAAATTACATGGAGTATAATTTTTTTGAACGTAAATTTTCGATTGTAAAATTTCTTTCAACTTCGTTACAAGTTCGATTGTGCCCCCAACTTTAAATTTCTGCGTCCGCTCCTGAGTTCGAGGGCAACGTGACTGGCATTTCTGCCGAAAAGAGGGAAAAATAAAAGAACGGAATTTCTTAAGTCAAGCCTCCTCTTCCCAATTCACCTGCCATTTCTGCATATCTGTCCTCTCTTTTATTTGTTATTCTTTTATGCAGAAAAGAAAAGCAGATAACAGTATATATGCGATGGGAGGGAACAAAAAGAATCACTTTTCAGTAAAATCATTGGCACCAAACAGAGCACAAGTAAATATTTTTCTTGTCACGCTAGCCTCAGTTCACATCAGATTCTCAATTCTCTACTCATTAAAAACAAAAAAGTAAAAATGAAATAATTATTCTGAATCTTTATCCGTAAAGAATCGTCGAGTAAAAAGAATTCAATCTTGCATTCCCACTTGCCATTCGGTTCATTTTTGTCCTGCAAAATTTGTAATACTTCATTAGTAACTTAACATTTTGTCAGATCGAAGTTTAAATCTTATTCGCAGTAGTGTTCAGTCCCTTGTGAACTGCTAAATGAACAATCTGGTAGTGATTGACAGCTAACATGAAGGTACCTGATAAAGGAGGATTGAAATTGCAGTATGAAACTTAGAGATGCAGTCGAGTGGGAAGCGGTAAATCTTGAAATTGAATCGAACTCCAAAATGAAATGTAATTAGAGAGGAAATAAACAGTGGTCAATGGTTAATCAAGTCTTTCCAAGTTAGCTATCAAAAATTTGAAGTATCTACACCTGAGCAGAAAACAATAAAATTAGAGAATAGAACACAAATCTGCAGCAACATCAGGGAAAGGTAAAAGAAGATGGAGGCTCACCTTTATCGATTTATGGGCAAGGAACGTCCCCATCGCACTTTAAGTTGAGTTTCTTTAAAACAATTGCCACCTGGCACCTGCAAATGGGGACCAACAACATATATAAGAAGAGGTGCACTGGGCTTGAAATTACCGCTAAATGAAGAAGCAATTTATATCACACTTAACTAGACAAACACGCATGCCTTGGAAAATTACTATCTTGGCATGTGAAACTAGTTGCAAAACAATATTGAAACAAAATGGGAAAAAGATCACGGGGAACCATAAAAATAGAACAAGTTCATTTAAATCATTTTTGTTGTCATAGCTTAGGCATGGGTGAAAAAATTACTCTGTTAAATATGAGATGCACAAGGACACAAGCATGTTCGGTGAGGTGGACTTGAAAGTCCTATACAGCATTATAGTAGAAAATAAACCTAACATCCACTCAATCTGTGTGCCAAACACACTCGTAATAATTAGGCAGCATACAGCAAAGCATGCAATTGTTATATGCCCAAGGAGAGAAAGCATGCAAATTTAGACGCACGTGGGGGAAAGAGAGTAGAGAGCGTACCTGTATCTTAAGTTTACAATCATATCCTCCTTCAAAAAAAGCAGAGCTCTGTATAACCATGCGAGTATGGTAACAGCTCTTCCACCTCAATCCTGGAGTTCGAACAACTCATGCTCTTCCTCAACCGGTTGGGGACCGACTCAATCTCAGCCCAAAACATGCTAGACACGGGCCTATGATCTGAAAACCTAAATTCACCACGGAAGTATGACAACTGCTGAAGGCCACTTCCATGCCATAGAATTCGATCGCACCTTCAGATATGGAAGTGCCCAGATCAGTATTTTTCTTATAAACGTCAATAAATTAATCTAACAATGACTTCTCCAGACATATTCCTTTAATCCATTTATTCATTTAATTTAGAAATATAATAAATCAAATTTGGAAAAATGAAGAGCCCTTACCATGCAGGTGTCCGCCTTTTCTCTTTTAGGTGAATATCATCACCTGTGTATCTGTCTGAATTATGTGAATATTTATACGTTGGAGGGAAATATATCTTCCCTTCTTTCCATCCATCAAAAACTCGGCCTCGTGTCTGCTCAATCCGCAGCTGTTAAGAAAAATAAGAACTGTTTATTTAGTTGGATATCAACCAATTAGTGAAGAAATGGATGCCAGAATTTGAGATAACAGAATAGTTAATTTTCATTAAGACTATAGGTACCTGGTCCCTTTCTAACAATGCTCTCCAGTTTTGCATCTCAACAAGTGCTTTGGCGGACCGGTAGGGCAGTGCGACTCGATAGTTCAGATCGCCAATCCAAATAACCCGACTAGATCAAAATTTAAACTATAAATACGTAATAACGGTTTGCTATGAAAAATAACAAATTTAAACAATGAACTAATTCCATTTTCAAGATGATATGAAAACGACAACATTGATAACTCATAAAATTGAAATTGAATAAGTGGAGGAACAATTCATTAGCACTTTTATAAGGATCAATGATTTTCAAAAAAAAAAAAATCCAACTGCTCCCACTTATTTATGCAACCCATTTCTACTAATTCATCTACTTTTTCCACTTCTGCATATACAAATGGAAGTAATTGATTTGTCTGCCAGCAAGAAATCTTACTCGTGTTCAAGGATTGTTTCTGGGGATTTCTCTTCGCTGATGGTGTTAACTCGTGGGAACCTCGTTTTCCTTAGGATTTCCATAACATCAGCATTTCTACGTAGCTCATCACCATCCTTCTGACCTGAAGTCAAGTGGCTGCACACGAAACAAAGGCTAGTCTGATGCAATAACATGCTGATCGCAATGGAGCCCTGCAACAGAAAGCATTAGTTATTTTCTGAATGGCATCTAGGAACACTAGGTAAGCCATCATATTCAACAACCCTACGAAAAATTACCTTATTTCCCAGGTAACCCATCAATCCTCTGCCAACACACGATATTTTCATGTTCCGCACATGTTCCCGCAATTCACTCCGAACCCATACTGTGAGAAAAATGCCTACCATTTGCTTGCTGGAAACTAAACAGTATCTCGAATGCTCGGGCAGTCTGTATCCCTCTTCCATTGGTGCATGTCCATTGTAGGGCATTGCTGAATGCAAAACTGTACTGGGTGAATTACCAGGCATATAATCCTCATCTGAACCCCATCTAGAGAAGTCACTTGGCCTCTGACCACACGAGTAGTCACTAGGCCTTTGGCTCCACGAATAGTCACTCGACCTGCGACCAGAGGAGTAGTCACTTAGACGGCGACCAGAGGAGTAGTCACTTGGACGGTGACCAGAGGAGTAGTCACTTGGACGGCGACTAGAGTAGTCACTTGGCCTCTGACTAGAGGAACAGTCGCTTGGCCTATATCTGATATTTGGATCGAAATCACTAGCCCTATGACCAAAAATTACCCGGTCGCAAACACTAAATCGCCGATCAAGGCGAGGTTGCGGGACATCATTCTCCATTCTCCAATGTTGTGGTGTCTGAAAAGATCGACGGTGCAACAAAGAAGAGGCCTTTTTCCTGATTGATCCCTCAAAATCTGCATTCCATTCTGCAATTGGATCAGGGATAGGAGATGGTGTATAACACCCACTGCCTGTACTAGTTCCCGGAGCATTGTTTAACGTTTTCCTTATAAGATGGAGCCAATTTTTAGCAGGGCCATTGTCTTCAGCGCCTAGAATATTACTGGCATTCAAAGGAACTATTTCTTGAAATCTAAACAGTGAAAGAAAATAATAACTTCTGTTAGTCGAAGAATAAGCAGAATTACAAAATTAAATGCACAAATCACAAAGTGAATCTTACCCCAGTACATAAATGTCTGCAGGAGGTGCAGAATGTAGCCAATCATCTAGATTCATGTTGCTGGGCGGTGATTTTCCTCCCACATTCCATGTTGAGACAAAGAGGCTGCTCCAAAAGATGCAAATTGTTATGAAATTCAATTAAAAACAGAAACCTATCATATGAAGAATGTCTATAATCTATAAAAGAGAAGTACCTATAATTCTGGACATTTATTATCTGAGGGTGATCAAGATAACCTCTCCCTCGTCTCGAACGGGAACGAGATCGCGGACGCTCAATGTTCTTGGCTGATTTTTCTGTAGAACATGTTGGGCAAAGAAATTAAGATAAATACATAATTGGATTAGGGAACGAAAAGCATCTAAACTATACAGAAGGTTAATAATATACCTACATATGTAAACATATATCAGTAACATAAGTAAATTAATAAGCAATTTCAATATATATTAGTAGATTTTCAAAATTATGCATGTGTGGACAAAAAAGTAAAAGTACAATCCAAAAAACCTGTTCTGCTTTTCTTGATTGTGCAGGGTTCCCTCTCCGCAAAGCTATTCCTCCATTCAAAATCACCCCCTAGAAAGAGAATCATCATTAACAATTCAATCCTCAAATCAAACAGAGTTAATTGATATCAGTGATCAAAATTCTGACATTTCACCAAGTAAACAAACGGAATTATAATCTTATTACTCGAAATACAAGATTATAAAAGTCTATTTAACAACGTCAGGAATTGATGCAGAAGGAATAAAAATAAAATTTCAAACACACAGGAAATTTAGTTTCACTTCTCCATTTTACAGCCACAAAATGAAAAATCCAGTATAAAACTAATGAAAAATAAGCTAAAACATTGTTTTATCAATAGAAGACAAAACAAGAAAAGTTAAAACATTATTGAAGTGTTCAATTTCCAGATTTTCCCAGCAGCCAAATTCCAACTATATAAGTAACATAAAAGATTAAGATAGGACAAAAGAAATGACAAAATGAACAGAAAAAGAGGTGAGAGATGTCAAAAAATTAACAAATACTATCTATCTATCAACAAATTCATAAGGAAAAAGGTCAATCAGACAACAACTGAAAAACAGAAAATAAGGAAGACTAGAAAAATGAAGTACACCCAAATTAAATCAAACCTATAAAATCCAGAAAATTGAAACAGTTACCTCTATAAACAACTTCATCAGCCTGAAATTCCTCACTTTTACATTTGATATTGAACCATTTTCTAACCAGTTTCTTTGACCATGAGAGCTTCAAGTTGCGCAAAAGAACAAGGGAAAAAAGTCAGCAAAAAATTTCAATAAAAATATCATTAAATTTATTTCCCAGGAAAATTAAGGGGAAAAAAAAACCTTGCTTTTCTTGAAATTTTCATCTCTCATTGTTCACCTATTGCTTCATGCGGCACTCTTTACACACTTCCTCTTCCCCCTCCTTTCCAAAAATTCAGATATTTTTCCAAAAAATCAAAAGAAAAAAAAATTCAAGAAACTATGAAACCTTAATGTTCACTATTTTCAATGTCTTCTGTTGAGGCTGCAGTCCAACTTCAATGTGAAATCTGATCAAAATTCCAAATGGGCGTATCTGATTTTCCTTAATTCTTCAGTTCTTCGGCCTTCTACTTCCTGGGCATAATTTCTTCATGGAGCCCCTAAAGAAACTCAAGAATCACTCTTATAGTGTTCATATACATGTATATGAATGTGTAGAGCACTAGAAAAACTGAGTTTAATGGAGATACAGTAGAAAAACAAAAGTGCCCAACTCGAGAAACAAGCAATGGAATGACCAAGAATGAGACAAGACTTCAACTTAAGAACGAGATTATGCAATTATCACAGTCTAGGGAGATTAAAGAAAAAGGGCTTTTCTTTTCTTTTTCTTGAAACACAGCCTCGTTTTGAGTGGTAAATAGTAACAGCAAGTATCGAATTTGAACAGAATAAAGTGCACAAACTCTCCTTACACTCTCTATCACACACACACACCCATATGGGTGTGTGTTTCTTACTTTTTTTTTACCCAACCCCAAGGTCGGCCCATCAGCATGATTTTGGGCAACCAGCATGTTGTTTTACTCCAATTCAAAGGCCTAAAACGACTGGATCAGCAGACCGACCCCGTCCCTTTTCTTGGTCAGCAAAGTGTTAAAATTGTGAGATCTGCTAAGACTAATACACCCCTTTTGCCATTTGGTCTAACAAACAAAGTTAAAGCTCCCAAAGAAAAGACAAATAAAGAAAAAGCTTTGCATGTAGAACAAACAATATTTCTGTACCATTTTCTATATTTGATATTAATTTTTTTATATAATATTTTTTTAATGTACTGTTGCTTTTTCCTATGTTATTTTTTCTTTTCTTGGGACGTGGATTTTGTCTGTAAGAATTAAGGAATATTTGGAGGAAACAGGAAAGCATTGTCAATTGTTTGTGTATAAAGAGATTCTTCTCATACATATACATGGGTTTTAAAATCTTTAGCAGTATCACAATTGTCCATTATTTGGTATTTTGGTATTAGAATATGTTGAACGTGGGAATGTGGTTGAACTAATTGAGGCTAAGAATAATGTTTTGCCATGTAGACACGGGTAGTTGTCTGAATTTAAAGACGTGTGGTCCTCTCTACTCAATCCAGCTATATTGCTAAAAAAGTTTGACGTCTTCCTTAGAAAATATCACATGTCATTTTATTATTGAATTGTTTTAAAAACAATCAACTTCTACATTATATTACTTCCTACAACTAATACATTTGTCAACTAGGATGTCAACATTTTTGGCAAAGTAGCTTCATTCGTAGTTCTTATGATAAGCCGTCAACTCTTGTATGACATCACTACAAATTTGTTTAAGATCTTTTCATTATCAAGGATTATGAATGCGCTAACATTCTTGTTTTATTTCAATTCATTTTGGTTTGAGGGATTTACAAAATCCATTGCTTGTCTTTCGATAGTTGTTTTGCTACTCAAGTTCTAGATAGTCTAGTAGAATCTTTGAATAACACCATTACTGGTGAAACCGGGTGCAAATATGTATTCTGGTTTACTAAATTTACCATATAGAAAGTTGGATAGAGTTTCGACTTAATGAAACATAGAAATGTAAAGAGACGAAATGAAGAAAACAAGAATATGATTGAAACAAGAGTTGAACTCTCTTTTCTTAGAAAAATTTGTCCCACCCAAATGTCCACAGTTGGATGACAAACATCTTCCAAAATACAACACTCACTTCATGAAATACTTCAAATCTTGAGAAATAGCGAACTGAGTAGTATTTGGCACTCTTTTTATAAAACCATGACTTGTACATGTGAAATGATATTTTTGGTGAGTTGAGTATAAAATATGAAAGTGTGTCAATGAATGAATGATTTTGCAATGTTCGGGGTTTATTTATAACATCTAAAAAGACAGAACTATCTGAAAATACACTATTGTTGGAATATGTCAATATTTGAAGAGGTAATTTAGTATTCCACCATATTCTCATTCAAAGTTTCAAGTTTTAAGGAACTCATATTTGGCCTTCATTTCTCATTCTCTTGAAATTAGTTTTCAGTAGCAAAATATACTAAGATAATCTACTCACGAGCACATAACACTTTCAGTTTTCAATTTTCATGATCGACTAACAGGTTCCACTAAAACAATTGATCAAAAATAGTCAAAATTAACATTCTAAAACCAATTCCTACAACAGCTGTGGTAAAGGTTGGTAGATGATGTAGAAATGAAATAGGAAAATGACCACAACTTGGTAGATTTAGCCCCCGTTTGGTGCACATTTTCAAGGTAGGAATGCATTTTTACTGTTAACGTGATGGGAAATGTGTGATTGAAAAAGAAGAAAAATTTATTGATGTGATGAAAAATATTATTTTATTGAAGAATGTGTGGTTGAAAATGAGTAGAAGAATGAGAATGAAAAAATTAATGTGGACCAAACAGTGCCTTAGAAATGAAAAAGAAAAATTAATGGGACTGAGAAGGAGAAGATTGATTAGAAGTAAGACAAATTTCGTAGAGGAAAGATTATTGAAAAAATACAATCGCATAAAAACAAATCTAATCTAATTATATCAAACAAATAAAATTTAAGAATCAAATTATATATATATATATATATAGAGAGAGAGAGAGAGAGAGAGAGAGAAGGTGGAAGAGGAGAACTACGGAGAGGGGGTATCATTTATGTATATATATATATATATATAAAGCTGACTGCACTACCTATTATTGTGTGTCACGTTACCTGGTATTTAGGAGATCAATTTCGATTTATATAATTTTTTTTTTTTCTAAAGAGATATCTAATCCATATAATTGTCAATACTTCAAATAATGTAAGAATGAAATGGAAAAAGTACTTAGATCAGCTAATATTAAAACTTTGTTGACTGGTTTAAATGCTTCCAATGATGCTAACATGCAAGTGACTGTCCAATAAAACTTGTACTCTTTATGATTATTTTGGGCATAAGCACTTAATTAGGGGAAAAAATTATGGATTTTGTAACAAATAATTGTTTATTTAGCCGACGGCGGAAGTGCTTATTTGGTCCCATATAACCTTTATTAATGAACAAATATAATTCTTAACAAATTTCATTAAATTTCCCACTAACGTAACCAAGTGTAGCATCCACTATAATAAGACAGTTTTTGGGTCCCAAAGAAAATTTGTGATCATTAAGGTTTTGTATAAAGCCATATGGTTGTCCTAACTTATCAAATTCTTTTCTTGGGTGGGTGACTTAGTTGTCAAATTAAATGCCTTGGTGTCCCATGACATTACGTTTGTGTTTATTATCTTTTTGCACTATAATAAAGTTTTGAGGAGTGCTATAAATTATAATCACTCAAAATGAGGATTTCATGAATTAAAATCTATTAAATGAGGCTGTAATCACTCCCAAATTGAGAATATAATATGCCAATTTGACTTTATAATAATAAATATGTGAATAATTATATACGCCTATAATTTTATTTATTACGCTACATTTTGATTATACTTAACGTCCTCAAGCTTTGTTGATTATAATACTTATGTCCTTAATTTTTCGATCGATTTATCTTCAACCTTCTATTAACTATCACATCTAATTTTTTGTAACCATTATGAGTCGATCTTGAGAATTAGGTTGTATACACAAGATCCTAGTTAGGTTCCAATCGATGAGAGTTCTATGAGAACGCAGATTGGTGAATCAAGAGGAATGAACTACCTAACATGTATTTGTTGGGAAAAAAAGAGGAAATGGCTGACTTTGACATAAATTTTGAGTGAGACCCCGTTTGCTTATTTTGGAAAATCAATATTGATTTGTGTTCTCCTCCGCGAGAACGTCGGAATCATGTATTTACTTGCCAAAATTGAAGTTCGGGTGAATGAGAAATCGGAGTTCAATATGGATCATTTGAATATGGTTTATGTTGGAGGAAAAAACCAAATTTGAGTTTATCCCACCTATGAAGTTTATGAAAAGCAAGAATCACTTTATATATAGCTAAACTTTGGAAGTGTGTAATATGTGTAGCATACAAGCTCTCTCCACGCGTGCGCACAGAGGGATGCAAATCACAGACCGAAATATGTTTCGAACCTTGAGTTTGTGTGCGTATGTGACCTGCTACACGAATGTCGGATCGAATTGACCAAAAATTAGCTCTTTAGGATGACCTACGTTTTGTCAAAAAAAAAATTTCTTTCAACAACTGACTTTTGAGATCTGAAACTCCAATAATTATTATCATAAAATTTGAAACTGCTGGAACTCCAATGGTTATTGCCATTGTGCTAATGGATTAACTCGTAATTATTTGGATTAAGTTTATATAAAGCCTCAGTTCTTCACTGTTCCAGACATGAAAAAACAGTCTACATTATAGTTCCAAAACACACGAAATTGCCCTCTGTCTGCATACATAATTTACTGTCTGTCAAGGTTTTGGTGGTGATATTATTCAGATACTAAGTCAGTTCGTCGAAGTAGAATCTGCAGTGCTCAAACTCTACTGGTTTACCATGTATCCTGGGAAACAGACGCTCAAATGAAAATTCAAGCACTTACGGTGAGGGAACGAATATATTTTAAGGAAACTGTATTCACATAAGCCTCAATTTTAAAGTTTAATTGAAATTTTATTATCTGCTATTTAGATTATTTGTTCTATTTTATCGTATTTTATATAACTTATCTTGTTTGTTGTAATTAGCAAATTATTTAATCTGTTATATCTTAATTATTATTCGGTAAGTTATTGTCTAAATGGTAAAATGCATATACGGTATGTTAATTACATATTCGGTAAGTTGCATATACGGTATGTTGGTTCCATATCCGGTAAGTTACATATCTGGTATGT